TTTTTTTTTTTTTGATTTTTTGGTGATTTTTTGGGGATTTTTTAGGATTTTTTGGGTATTTTTTGGTATTTTTTGGGAATTTTGGGGGATTTTTTGGGGGATTTTTTTGGGAATTTTTGGGGATTTTGAGGGATTTTTTAGGATTTTTTGGGGCATTTTTTGGTATTTTGGGGGCATTTTTTGGGGATTTTTTTGATTTTGGGGGGATTTTTTTGGGAATTTTTTTTGGGATTTTGGGGGGATTTTTTTGGACTTGTTTGGATTTTTTTTTTGAATTTTGGGAGATTTTTGGGGGAATTTTGGGAGTAATTTTTGGATATTTTTGGTGATTTTTTGGTGATTTTTTTGGGGGGGATTTTTTTTGGAATTTTGGGGGAATATTTCGGGGAAAATTTTTGGAGATTTTTGGGGAATTTTTGGGCAATTCTGCAGAATTTTTGGGATTTTTTTTTTTTAACTTTTGACAGAATTTGGGGATTTTTTTGGGGGGGGGATTTCTGGGAATTCTTTTCACCTAAACCAAACATTGTCCCCACAGCTCCGGGATTGTCCCCAAAATTGTCCCTCCTGGTGGCCCTGGCGGTTCTGGCGCTGCTCCTGGGGCTCCTCCTCTTCATCTTCGGCCTCAGCCGCTACCTGAGCACAGGTGACATCGAGGGGACACTTGGGGACATCCTCTGCTGGCACTTCCTGTCACTTTCTGTCCATTTTTATCTATTTTTGTCTCTTTTATGCTGCTTTTTGTTGGTTTTTTGCCCTTTTTTGCCTTTTTCTGTCACTTTTTTGTGCCTTTTTGTCCCTTTTTTGTGCCTTTTTGTCCCTTTTTTGTCATTTTTTGTCCCTTTCTGTCCCTTTTTTGTCACTTTCTGTCCTTTTTTGTGCCTTTTTGTCCCTTTTTTGTGCCTTTTTGTCCCTTTTTTGTCATTTATTGTCATTTTTTGCCACTTCTTCTCCCATTTTTGCACTTTTTCTCCCTTTTTTGTCACTTTTTCCTCAATTTTTCCCCTTTTTCTCCTTTTTTTTGTTGCTTTTTGCCCCTTTTTGCCCACTTCTGTCCCTTTCTGTCCTTTTTTTGTGCCTTTTTGTCCCTTTTTTGTCATTTTTTGTCCCTTTCTGTCCCTTTTTTGTCCCTTTTTTGTCCATTTTTATCTATTTTTGTCTCTTTTATGCTGTTTTTTGTCCTTTTCTATCCCTTTTTTGTGCTTTTCTGTCCCTTTTCTGTCCCTTTTTTGTGCCTTTTTGTCCTTTTTTGTCATTTATTGTCATTTTTGTTGCTTTTTCTCCCTTTTTTGTTGCTATTTCTCACTTTTTTTGTGCCTTTTTTCCCCTTTTTTGTCATTTCTTATCCTTTTTTGTCACTTTTTTCCCTTTTTTGTTGATTTTTTGCCCCTTTTTACCATTTCTGTCCCTTTCTGTCCCTTTTTTTTGCCTTTTTGTCCTTTTTTTGTCACTTATTTTCCAATTTTTGTCACTTTTTCTCCCTTTTTTGTTGCTTTTTTGTCCCTTTTTACCATTTTTATCCATTTTTTGTCCCTTTTTGGTCCTTTTTTATGCCTTTTTGTCCCCTTTTGTCTCTTATTGTCCCTTTTTTGATGGTTTTTTGTCACTTTTTACCATTTTTTGTCCTTTTCCCCCCCTTTTCCTCCTTTTTTGTCCCTTTTTTTCCCCTTTTTCCCATTTTTATCCCTTTTTTCCCCATTTCCCCCTTTTCTTCCCCCTTTTCCTCCCTTTTAACCCCTTCTTATCTCATTTTTACCCCTTTTCACCCTTTTTTTATCACTTTTCTCCCATTTCCCCCCATTTTTTCTCCCTTTTTGTTGCTTTTCTGTCCCTCTTTGTCCCTTTTTTTATCCTTTTTAATGAATTTTTATCCGTTTTTGTCCGTTTTTATCCATTTTTGCCCCATTTTCTCCCTCCAGGTTACACCCCTCTCCCCGGTGACACCCACGCAGGTGAGGCACCCCCGATCTCACCATTTTTTATCACTTTTAGGTCACTTTTGTCACTTTTTTAACCTTTTTTTATCATTTTCCCTTCCCAGGCAACATCTGAGGACTCTCCCAGGACGAGGCCTGAAAAATCCCCAAAAAAATCCCAAAAATCCGCCCCAAAAAAACCCAAAAATC